TCTGCGATGAGGTCAGAAATGAGGTGCTCAGGGTCCAGGAGGGCACTCTGGGTTGGAGCAGGGGTTGGAATGTGGGAAGGGGGAGGGCTCCAGTTGCGGGTATGGTTGGGGATAAGACAGTCGGGGTTCAGGAGAAGGATCCAAACTGGGTCTGAGGGATTCATAGTATAGAAGAGGAATCAAGGCTGGGGCAGGTGGCAGGTTCATGGACGGTGTGGGGCTCAGGGGTGCAGGCTGTGGACTGTGCTTACCTCCCCATGCAGCTCCTGAAAGTTGCAGCATGTCCCCCTTCTGGCTGGCTCCTGTGTGAAGGTGTGACGAGATGGCTCTGTTCACTGCTTCCCTCCCCCTGTCCACAGGTGCTGTCCCTGAAATTCCCATTGGCTGCAGTTCCCAGCCAATGGGAGCTGTGAGGGAAGTGCTTGGGGGTGGGAGCAGCACACAGAACCCTCTGCTGGCTCTTATGTATAGCAACGAGCCAGAAGAGGGACATACTGCTGCTTCCAGGAGCCACGCAAAGCAGGGCAAGTCCCAGATCCTGATCTGCAGCAGGAGCTTGAGGGCCAGATTAAAATGGCTGGTGGGCTAGATGTGGCCTGCAGGCTGTAATTTGCCCCTCTCTGTTTTACAACCTTCCTGTGCAATTTATTCTAGTGCTTAACTGTCCTGACAGGAAGTTATTCCTGATGTCCAATCTACACCTCTGTTGTTGGTTACGTGTTCTTTTCATTCCCTCTGGTACATCTGGCATTGGCCCCTGTCTGAAGACAGGATACTGAGTTAAATGGACCTTTGGTCTGGCCCTGTGTGTCCATTCTTATGTTTCCCAAGCTATGTCTACTCTACAGTGATCTATCGAAAAAAGGTATGCAAATTGCACTCCAGGATAGTTTTTTCGGAAGAGGCTTTTCCAAAATTTGGCCCGTGTACACTGGGCCAAATTTTGGAAAAGCCTCCTCATTCCAGAAAAGCCCTTCTTCCTCATTGGAGGAGGAAGAGGGTTAGGGTTAGGGATGCGGCGGAATTTTTTCGAGATACCTCCGGTATCCCAGAAAAACCCCGTAGTGTAGATACAGCCCCAGTGTGTTCTCAGAATTCCATCTGAGTGAACCCATCAGCTTACCTGTGTCCTTCCCAAATGTACATGAATCACTAGGAAAAAAGAAATTACACACACTATTTGTTTCCAGGTCTGTGCTCTATTATACCAAGGAGACTAAATCATTCCAGCTATCATCTTATATATTTCTTCCTATAACAGAGCATTCCAAAGGTCAACCTCTATAATCCCAAAGAATATTGAAACAGATCACATGTTGCATCCTCTTGCTATTAGATGGCTAGGGAATATCTCCCATTAAATATCAAGGCTAACTGCACTAGTATTCAAGTATTTTCTTCCACCTTTTTCAGACGTGTGCTACTACTAGACATCTGCAAAGTAGAGGTGTGGAGTAAACTACTGCCTTTTGTCGAGCACTGTGCCTTGGACTTAGCTGATCATATGACAGGTTTAAGAGAGAAGAAGAAGAATCTCTTTTTGACCAGTGCAGCTGGAATTCCTCATTCCTACTGTCCTGAAGGGATATTACTTGCCAGGCGCCTACAATGGGGCTCCACACTGATACACAGTAGAAGAAAATACAGTTATTTATTTACACTATAGTAATTGTGATTCTTCAAAAATGTTTGTCAGTGTGGATTTCATGACCTGCTCTTGGAATCCTTGATTACCAGGAGCTTCAAATTGTGAGAGAACGGAGAAAGGGTCATGGTTGCTTGGTTTTTGCACTCTCTCATGAACCTCAACAGACCCAGCAATTCCAAAAACATGTGGTTTTGCATGTATGAGGTGCATATGCGCCCTACAGTGGGAATCACACTGACAAAAATATCTAAGAAAACCACAGCTACTGTAGGCCAAGTAACTAATCTTCTCCTACACTTTTCTGTAAAGTGTCCCAGTTCTTCATTTTGGAGAGGGAAAGAAAAGGGACATACACACACATGGAAGTACTACATTTCTCCTCTCACGATAACTCTTCCCTGTGATATGCCTGACCACAATGTCAGAGTTCTCTTCACTTTGAAAATATGATAAATATGCAGAAGATGGTAGCAATAGCTGATGAAGACTGCTTGCTCTTTGGAGCCAGCCGGTCACTTTTGGCAGCCATTACTTCTGAAGAAACATCCCCTAGGTTGGAAGATGCATCTGTGGCTCTAGCCATGCTAAAGTGTTGATGTTTTCCTTTTCCTGCAGTCCCTCAGCATGACCATGGTGCCTTTGACAACCGTTGTTGCCTTCACTGACATGACAGAATGGCCAGAATCTCCACGTAGCCAGCCCAGCACATATTGGAAAGTCCCATTTGACTTCTTTTTTCCCTTCAAGGTAGCACTGAGTGGGGGGATAAGCTGTCAAGGAGACCTGGCTTGTGCTTTCCTGATGACTTTTATGCTTTTTAGCATTCTCAGTTTCTGAAGAGCATGAAGCCTGTTACTCTGATCCTCGTGGAACCATTTATACCCAGATAGTACCAGAAGACTCAGTGGTGCTCATGTTGGACAAGAGAGCAGAAAGAGCAGTCTCTGTGTAGAAAGAGGAAGGAAAGGGGTTTTATTCTGTCCCCTACAAGAAGGAAAAGTCCCTTCCAAGATGAGCGGTACAGAGGCAAGTACAACTCTCATTTCTAGTTTGCCTCCCCACTGGTGGGGAATCTGGAACTCACTTGTTCAGCTACCTATTCGAGAGAGCCAAATCTTTCCATGTGGAATTGTAATTCACACATTTTTAAATATGATGTAATTTATCCAATGATAGTTTCTGTATGAAACCATCATTGCTTAGTGACCGGCTTTAGA